TCCTGCATAATACCCGTGATACGTGTAATCACCCGACGCGCTGCCCCACTTGTCCCCAGAGGCTCGAACGCGGGTGGGACGTAACTTTCTGAAGTGCAAATGCAGCGGTGCCACGCAGCCAGATTAAGCTCGAAAAGCAGGACTGCCCTCCAGACGTTGGTGACGCAGGAGGTGACTATGAAATTCCAATCAACGGTGTGTTGATCTACCTTGCAGATATCGTTGGAAGCGCCAGAATTCGGCATTTAAAACGATAAGCAAATCAATGCACAAAGCTTATTCCCCACCTCGTCACGTTCCAAACGGCGGCCCACAGAGTCTAAAATCAGTTTTTAACATTGGCGCACTTTTTCCATGCACTGCCATTAAAATCGGGCAGCGCGGGTGATAATAGCACCTTTTCTTCGTTGCTCTTGTATTTTTTTTAATTTATCTCAGCAGCGTCATTCAGATCGCTGAAGGCATACATTGTGGAGTGAAGCTGCTTAGCTAATCATTCTTTGTCCCACGAATCAGAACCTGTCATGGGGAACGAATATGTGCCACAAGAATGGGGTAAATCCATACTCAGCACAGGCCCACTAAAATTGATGTAAGTAAGAGTTAGCCCAACAACGAATGGCTACGACACGAAGGCTGCCAGCCAAATCCAACCCCACAAAAGAACGATAACAGAATGCTAGGCAACTTCAATGGCAACGGTGACTGCAAGAATACGCTTAAATGATGGAAGGCCTACGCCAACGATGTCGTCGTGCCCGTAGGTCTATGACAGGCGCGAACGCTTGCTTTCACCGTGGCTTTCTATCTCTGGAGCGTGGACATCCGTGTCATGTCTATGACTGACTGTGCTTTAACTCGAACTACTCTCTCCTCTGAATCAAAGTAAAAACCACCTAACGCTAAGCAACAACCAATAGAAGTAGCCTAGAAAGAACATGTCTTACCTAGTTAAGGCCTAGAAACAACCAAATAGCAACCAGGTCAGTCCTCAGAATTGTTCAGTTCTTTTTTTTAAGCCTTGCACAGTTTAGTGCAAGCTTCACTAATTATGTATGGAATTCATATGGGTTAAGTTTCCGGATTCACTGAAGACACATAAATGCAACGAGTACCGCATTCAATGGTTTTACGTACTTCAGTGGCAATATTTCATGTGGATGGAAATATTTTGTTATATGACACACAATATTGCGCTAGTTTAAGCTGAAATGGCCCGCTTGTAACGGTCTTGTAACTCTATCGTTGCAAAGCAAGAATGCATACTCGCTTTCGCACTTCGTTTCGCAAAATGCTGCCACCACGGCTGTTATTGAATCGATTTCCGATCAACAATCACTTGAAGAATCGTGCTCGGAAGCATAAAGGCCATCTACGTCGTTGCTCTAAAATTGACAGTCAGCACCAACGTTGCGGCCTCTGAGCAATTCTATCAGCGCAGGCACGCTACCTATAAAAACTCGCTATTTACCTGCCATTGGTTCTAATTTAACGACCACAGGTTGATAGCTGCGCTTATTCGGCAGTGTTTCTGCAATGGTAATTTACTTAAATGTACGAAGAAAATAGAAATGCAGCCAAAGACAGAAAAAAGCTAAATGCGGTGAGGAAAGTTTAAAAGTTAAGTGCAGAGTCAGTTTTCGCAGCAAGATTGCCATCGGTGGCTATATATACTTTGCGACAGATTGAATACTTTACTAATCGATCTAGCAACAAAATTTCATGCTAATACATTTCAATTGCTTGGCTTTACTTCACGCCAAAACCACGATAAAATTGATAGACATGCCGTAATATGAACCTCCAGAAAATTGGACCACCTGGTGTTCTTTACCATGCACTAGCTTCGCGTACCACATGGGCCTCTAGGAGTTCACCGCCATCGGAAATCTACCACCTTGACCAAGATGGAACCCAAGGCTTTCGGGTCAGAAAATTTCACATTGGTTCATAGCTACTTTATGTCTACATTTTAATTTCTTTTTTTGTACATTTAGTAGCGAATTTCATTCATTTTCATATAAATTAACGACCAAAGCTGAAGACTATGCATTATTTTGAAGCTTTTCGGTTGTGAGTGAATGGGACAACCAGCAGCTTAGTGCTCATTGAAGCACGATAGCGCAATGCTCCTGCGAAGAGATAGAGATATGAAGTTGAGTGCATGTAATAAAAGCATCGTTAGCAGCTGCTCCCGATGCTCACGCTGCATTCAACTTATGCCGATGCCAATTCCTAATGCTGACAGCGGAGCGCGCATTTTTGCGCTAAGTTGAGAAAACCGAAAATGCACAACAGAACGAAACTAGACTGTTCATCTCCAAACTTTGAACCTCGAAATATAATAACGTAATTGTGCAAATGAACTGCGGTTTATGGTTTCATTGAAATAACCAATTTAGCGTTCAGCATTCTTACTGACTGAATGGCTGCAATTTCCCACTATTACCCCGTCTGCGGAAAGAACTCCATCTATTTTACATAAGATACGTGAAGGGATACTACGCCTGTAATAAGCAATCCGACATAGTTGCTGTATCCGATTGATAGAAAATAGGGTTCATGAAGTTGAACGTAAAGAAGTGCAAGGTTATGTGGGTTGCCCGAACGAATAAATAGCAGTCCACTTTATCACTTTAACAGTATATCATAAGAAATCGTCACACGCTAAATTGGCATAAATATTTAGCTGTTCCTATTCGATGTAATATAAACTAGACAGTGCACACTCAAGACGTTCACAAAGCCAACCGTATGTCTGCATGCTTAGGTCGCACCTATCCGCCGCTCGACCCTGAGTTTAACTTATCTTACACAAAGTTTGAATAAGGCGAAACGTCGAATACCCTGCTTCAGTGTAGGATTTTAGCCATGTTAAGAGTCTTGAAAGTGACTTGAAACTAGGTCGAATTATATAGTGGTTTTCTTTTTCGTCTTACTACAAGTGCTTTGCTAGTGATAGCAACCTCAAAAGCGAAGCTTTCGTGTCCGTTTCCTACAGTGAATGGAATTTTCTGCCGCCTAAGCTTACATCGCAAATTTTGATGCAGCAGCATTTTTTCTCAACACATTTTATCACCCTAATATAGACAGCTTCAAGATCGAAAGCATTTTGCGCCAAAAAACTTCCGGTCACCTAGTTCACCAGCTCGTAACGTCGAAACTGAAAGGACGTTGTCACATTTTTTCAAGAGTGATGAAAGTCTTTTAGTAGTTTTTTTTTCAGGTAAAAAGAACGTGTTAAATGTTAAAGACATTCTCTTGAAGTTTTTAGGCAGCCCAAAAGAACATTTTTTGAATATATTTTGCCAAGTGATGGAAGTAAAGCGTGGAAAAACAGCCGGCTATATTTAACGCTCTTATTGCTCACCTAGGCTATTCAGGCACATCGGTAGATGAAACCGGAAGTCATCAAGGGTATGTGTTTGTAAACAGTGTAAGGGTCTATGCGTCCCTTCTCATTGATCATCGCCATGATGCAAGGAATTCATTTTGTAGAAGCAATCGCAATCTTCAATATCGTCAATGGCAGTTTAATTGTACTACCTCCCTCCCCACTGAAGAAAACATGAATTTGTCATAATAGGCACTTTTGCAAAGCAGCAACCACCATTTCTCAATGGCTAGTTCTTGGCCTTGAGGCGAACTAGCTCACTAGCTATAGCCGAGAGTCCGTCGGAATACCACCTGGTTGGGGACAAACTTAGTGAAATAAAACAACAAAAACAAACCAACACCTACTGAGTTAAGATGCACAGAATTAAAAAAAAATGTTTCGGCACTCTACACGGGAGCCTTGTTAACTATAAGAACAAATGTCGTTGACTACGCCAAAGTTTATTCCTTCCTTCTGTTAAAGGAAGACGTTGTGAGCTGCGTACCCTAAGCGGTGAACATTTGCCTCTGGCCCTCGACCTCAAATGCGCTATTGATAAATTATCGCGCGAGGCTGCTCTCTCAGAGGTGAACGCAATATGCAGTGAAAGCGGACTTTTAGCTACAATAAATGTTTCCTCTTTGAATGGACGGCAACAGTTTTCGGGATAGGTAATGCAAGATCGCTGCGGTTCTCGGAGCCAAATAAGTAAACAACTCAAAGGGCAGGAATCTCCCCCTTGCTCTTCAACACCGCTATGCGCACACTTGCTCACAAGCTTGATATAATCCCGCACCTTCGCTGTACACTCTATGCGGTTGACATCCCTCCCAGAGCCACGAAGGGATCGCGGACGCCAATAGGGCAGACCCTATATAGGCTGCCCCAAAAGCTGCGGTGGAGTTCGCAAGACATAGTGGACTCAGCTGCGTGCCTAAACACTCAGATCTCATAAAAATACCCAGTAAGCATTAAAAGAGTAACGACAATCTAAACTTAGAGCTTGATGGTCATGCCATAGCCAAGGTTACTCAGGCCGCAACAGTCAGCCAGCTGCACTGACATACATTGCCAGAGCCAATCAGCAGCGTTGCGTCGGAGTTCACAAAGTGGGGCATGCACCGGCCGCGGCTCCGGCAACACAAAGACTTCGGTGACACGGACTAAGACTATCTGTCAGCGATGCGGTGGACAACACGCACCTGTAAGTTGTCCTTTTCTGAACAGCAGGTGTTATAAATGTCGAAAGAAGGGCCATGTCGCGAAAATGTGTAAAAGCAGGGTTGTACATCAGCTAGAAGAGCAGCACTCGTCGGACACTGAACTGCTAACTCTTTGTCACACCGATAACGGTACGGGCAACCGTGCCATTGTAATAAATGTAAGACTAAACGGGAAAGAGGTACCCATGGAACTAGACACGGGAGCGGCAGTTTCTATTATGTCCGAAGCAGAGTGCGCGAAGTATTTTCCTGGGACAAATTTCAGGCAAGCACATGTCAGACTTGTTACATATAACGGTACACCCGTTGATACCAAAGACGTCATTGACGTTGAAGTGCAATACCACGAGCAGTGCTTTCATTTGCCGCTAGTAATTGCCAAAGAGACGAAATGTGCAAGAATGCCTACGTTGTTTGGCCGTAACTGGATGAATGAAATCAAAATCCGATGGCATGAAGTTATGCAAGTGAAGGCACTGACAAAAGAAACTCCCTTGACTGACAAATACCGCGAAGTGTTTGAGCCGGGTTACGGAGCGATAAGAGGGTTCAAGGCGAGCATTGTTGTTAAAGAAAACGCTTCACTTGTATTCTGTAAGGCGCGATCAGTGCCGTATGCGCTACGCGAACAAGTCGAGCAGGAATTGGCAAACTTAGAAAAAGCTGGAGTCATTTACCGGGTGCGGCACAGTGCGTGGGCGACACCTCTGGTGATCGTGCCCAAGAAAAATGGCAAGGAGCTTCGGCTATGTGGTGACTACCGTGTCACAGTAAATCCTGCCATTGAGGCAGACCAGTACCCACTCCCTCCGCCAGAGGTTATTTTTGCAACTTTACATGGTGGAACTGTCTTTTCGGTTCTGGACTTGTCCAAGGCGTACTTACAGCTTGAATTGGACGAGCGAGCACAAGAACTGCTCACTATCAATACCCACCTGGGGCTGCTCAGGTTCCGGCGCTTGCCATACTGCGTAGCCTGTGCACCGGCGGTGTTCCAGGCCGTGATGGATCAGATCCTACACGGCCTCTCAGGAACGGCCTGTTACTTAGATGACGTTGTCATCACAGGCGCAGATAGAAAGCAATGCCATGACAGGTTGGAGCAGGTGCTCATACGCCTAAGAGAACATGGCATACGGGTCAACACTGAGAAGTGTAAGCTGTTCCAAAAACGAATCAGATACCTGGGCCATGAAGTTGACCAGAATGGGTTGCATCCTACGGCGGATAAAGTAGCTGCCATCAAGCAGGCGCCAAAACCGGACAACGTGACTCAGCTCAAAGCCTTTTTGGGCTTGGTAAATTACTACTCAAAATTTTTGCCAAATCTGGCTACGGTTTTAGAGCCCCTGCATAACTTGTTGCGTCGAGAAGCAGCATAGGATTGGTCACGCCAATGTGATGAGGCATTTAGAACCTGTAAGGAAATGCTTACTAACGAAAATGTGCTTGAGTTGTATGATGTCAACAAAGAAATGCAGCTAACGTGTGACGCCTCCGAGTACGGTTTGGGAGCTGTTTTGTCGCATGTTGTGGGCGGCACAGAGAAGCCAATAGCATTTGCGTCGCGATCACTATCACATGCGGAGCGTAGTTACAGCCAAATAGAGAAAGAAGCTTTGAACATTGTGTTTGGTCTGAAGTGATTTCATAACTACTTGTATGGTCGAACTTTTAAGGTTCTTACCGACCATCAACCTCTCACCGTGCTCTTTGGCCCGAAAAGGAAAGCTAGTGCTGTAGGCACAGCTAGAGTACACCGATGGGCTGTTTTCCTAGCAACTATAGCTATAAGAGTGCACATAAGCCGGGCACGGCAATCAGTAACGCAGATGCTTTATCTAGACTGCCATTGCCCCAGAAGACCTCTGAGCAAAATGAAGAAATTTTTTATTTTGCCACTCTGGACGAACTACCGCTGACAGCAAAAGATATAGAGCGTGAAACAACGCGCGACAAGCTACTATCAGTAGTGCGTGACTTGATTTGGCACGGCTGGCCGAAAGCTGTCGCTCAAGAACTGCAACCATTCTGGGTGCGACGGTTCAAACTCTCTGTTGATGCTGGTTGCGTTGTTTGAACGAATAGGGTAGTTATTCCAAATTGTTTGCAGAAAGTTGTCATAAATCTGCTGCACGAACAACACATCGGAATCACAAAGATGAAAATGGTTGCAAGGTCAATGGTTTGGTGGCCAGGAATTGATGATGCATTAGAAGAAACCGTGCGAAAATGCAGCGTTTGTCAAAGCGTACAAACAGCAGCACAGCTAGCGCCTTTGAGCCCGTGGAAATTGTGCGAACACCCATGGGAAAGGGTGCATCTTTATTTCGCCGAGAAGGAAGGTAAAATGTTCCTATTAGCAGTTGATGCTTACAGTAAGTGGCTAGAAGTTAAAGTATGTAGCACGACGACTGCTACTATGACAGTGGCAGTGGTTCGGTCTTTGTTTGCCGCGCACGGACTTCCTTTAGCAGTAGTAACAGATAACAAGCCGCAATTTCGGGCTGATGAATTCTAAAGCTTTCTAAAAGCACAAGGTGTAAAGCACACGTTCACACCCCCGTACCACCCGCAGTCCAACGGGGCGGTGGAGCGGGTGATACAAACAACTAAGACGGCCCTGTTTAAACAGTTGTTGGAGGACAAAAAAAAGGCAGTGCAAGAACACTTTAGCACAGAATAGATAACTTTCTGTTATGCTATCGCACAACGCCGCATACCTTCACTGGAAAGACACCGGCAGAACTGTTTGTGAGAAGACAGTTGCGTACCAGGTTGTCTTTGGTGCGGCCGCATCTGACAAAGGCCATGACCGAGAAAGTAGAAAGGATGAAACAGTCAGCCGATAAGCGCAGAGCGAAACCGTGATATTTTGGGGTTGGTTACCGTATGTTGGTTCGTTCCGTGCGAGGAAAATCGGTGAAATGGCTGCCGGGAAAAGTTACGCGAGTGAAGTCTCCAACTACGGATTTGGTTGTTATTGGAAACCAAGTGCGTTTTGTACATGCTGATCATTTACGACATTCTGTGCTCGATGACCGAACCCCACGTCGTGAAATATGCCTGCCACACGCCTCCGAGGTCACCTCTCCCCCACTGCCTGTGGTGCAACCGGACCCTCAGATTGAACAAAGGCCGCCGGACCCGGGGTTAACTGATAATAACAATGCACTTCCTCTGAGACGGAGCAACCGGGAAAGGCGGCCTCCTGAGCGTTGGTGCTACGACCGTTTTTGATCTAGTGATGAAGGAAGTGTTGTGTTGTTATCTGTATTACGGCGCGTGAAAGGCAACGCCGATGAACAGTGTTAGTGACGTCACCATGTTATCGTACATGTGCGAGTGGCTGGTGGGCGTATATATTCTGGCTCTTGTTCTGTTGCTGTGTGAACCGTTGCTTTGTGCTTCAAGCATGCAGTGCCGTAAATAAAGGTGTTCTGTAAGGCCTTGGTCTTTCTCTTCCGGCGGATGCAACTCATCCGCTCAACTCGGCACTCTTTAAAACCGAAACGGTGACTTTGTGGTCAAAAAGCATCTCTAAATAAATAACCATCGTGCACTTGTGCCAACGAGCTTTCCATTCCTAATAACTAGACCCTAAACTACTCATTGAAAAAAAAAACACGGTTCAAAAGTTATGCGTCAGTTCTCCTGTAATCGTCTCAAAGACTACGGTTGAGCAAACTGCCAGAATGATCACCTCTCATAAAAAAGGCACTGAATAAAAGGACACAACTTGGATTGTCCCGGCCTTGGTTCTCAACAAGAAGGAGATATCAATGTGAGTGGTTTAACGTCCAAAAACCACCATACGATATTGAAAGGCACCATAGTGGAAGCCTTCGGAAATTTTGACCACTTCTGGTTCTTCAACGTGCACCCAAATCTGAGAACACGGTTATACAACATTTTCGCCTCCATCTGAAATGCAGCCGCCACAGCGGGGATTCAATCCTGCCACTTGCGGGTCCGCAGCTGAGTACCTTAGCCACTAGACCACCACGGCGAGTTAGTGACGAGAGCCAGGTGGATGCCATTATTAGAAGCGCTTTTAAGGCAGCCATCGGTCCACCAATCCACATGAAAACCGAGCGGCTCCTAATCTTGGTGTACATAGCATTTATTACGCTGAGCTGAGTGCGGTGGTCCTCATCTTTCAGAGGAATTGTCTATGTGCAACATCAGTACACAGGGCAATACTCACTAGGATACAGATCTTGCCCAACACCCCGAACATTCATGAGGCGCTGGTGGACAAAACTCAAGAGGTCCGCAGGAAGATCTCGGTCACACCGGTGCCCAAAAATATGCATCTCGACGTTCACGCTGAGCAACTGGCTCCGAGAGCAGTTAGTGTCAGATTCTATCGTCGCGTACGTCGATGCGGCTAGTTACGATTGGCAGAGACGCATAATTACTTTCGTTGACAACAACATGACGCTGCTGACGTCTGCATGTGCGAGCACGACCTCGGCCCGAAATGCGGAGAACGTAGCCTTAAACGTAAGGTTTCATGACCGCAGAGCGATCAGTTATTCTATTCGACTCTCAAAGGCCTGCCGGCTCTTCACAACAGGCCGCCTTCCGGTGATAGAGTTGATGCTGCTAGCATGCTAGTACCCCAAAACTTTCGCAATAACCGCTTGAACTGCCGCCCGGGTCACGCAAGGCTCCAAGGCAACGAAAGGGCAGGTGCTCTAGCTCGAGCACTCTGTAACGCAACAGGGCGTTTGTCTCTTTCGAGAACCGAACCTATTGTACTTAGGGAAATTCTTTATCACCCATGCTTCACGCAGCAAAACTATAGAACGTAGGAATCCAACCTACGGAAGCTCCAAGATCCCCGTTTTCTTTTTTTTTTTCCTAAATAAAATTTCCTTCTATCTGCGCTCTTTGCTCTTCATTGTGAACAAGGCCTTCGTGCTTGAAGATGAAATGTTTTTTTTTTACTTTTCTGCATTTTACCTTGGTTGGAGTTCTTGTTTTATGCAACCTACAAAAAACTGACTGACTGACTGACTGACTGACTGACTAACTAACTAACTAACTAACTAACTAACTAACTAACTAAATTTTTTTTTCTTCCATTTGACATGTGGCTTGACTAAGCAAGAGGGGGGAATGTGCTGCTCATTTCAATGTCCTTGATTTTTTGAGTACGTTATTATTCTCTGTTCAATAATAAGTTCATCTTATCAAACCGCGCTTCTGTTATCACTGGCTACATTTTTGAAAACGGAAATAAGTGTTATGGCTAGATTTGGCTGTTTCTGGTTTTGGCTCTTTTTAAAACTTGGCAACCTAGCGTGCAGGAGAAGGCAAACTAAACTAGTAGTGGAGGCCACCATCTTGGTGTGAATAATGAAGATGCTGATGATTACTATTGATTTCATTGCGTGCGCTAGCACAATTTCATTATTATTATTATTATTATTCTTATGATTATTAATATTATTATATTTAGTCGATGCGGTTTGGCTAAAGTACACTGCATCGCAGTGCTACGCTCAAGAACGGGGGTTTCATCTTCAGCTACGGCGGTGGCACCTCAGTGGTGGTGAAATGCATGACGCCCCGTGTACTTAGATTTAGGTACACTTGACAGAACTTACGGTGGTCTAAATTATTCCCGAGTCGCCCGCTACATCAGCCTTCATATTGGTGTTGTTGTTTGGTACGTGAGACTCCATAATTATTTTTACATAGGCGCTATTGGTTCAGCACTGTGCGAAACAGCTTAAATTGACCAATTTTCTTAGGGCGAGCATCCAGAGAACGTAGGCGTAAGCTACGTTGAAGGCAGCATTTCTCGCAGATTGTGTGCTTTATTCTTCATAACCCGTTTCAAACAGTCCGGTGTGCGTTCACGCTTAGTCACTATATCTGTAAGAGTTTTAAAAAAAACGAAGCTCCTTCTAAGAGCAGAGGCGCTCTATCGTGTTTGCGTGTCGGGGCTCGGGGCCATTGAGATGACATCATATGTGGTAACAGATATATATATCTTCCAACACTCCTGTAAAATTCTAATACAATACAATACAATATGCCATTCCCAATTCTTGTACTGTCAATCCCCGTGGACCGGTACTACCCAAAGGAAGCAAAAACTGACAAGCCTACTAGAAAAGATTTTGAGGAGAACGGCAACCAACTGTCGTCCAATCTTTCACTCGGAAGATTTATTCTTAAGCTACGATGTCATTCCCTGGAACAAGAATTTTGAGTTTTCATCCTCCTATGTAGTTTCGAAAATTATTCGCAATCGTTGCTAGCTCTCGTCAAAGAATTATAGCTAATATATTGCCACATGCATTCATTGATTGATAGGTGGCTGTGATCGTGCCAAAACCGCCATATGATTATGAGAGACGCCGTAGTG